TATTTAACGGCTGTTAAAGTTGACTAATTCTATAATTAATTTGGCCGAGTCAACCAAATTTCGGTATTTTTTTTACTCATTAGAAAGTTGATACTTATTTTGATTCAAAACGGATAGTTCGGTATTAAAATGACCGTTTTCCTTTTTTTTATATATATATAAAACTTGAAAGTGTGGTATTTAAAAGAATTTTTCATTTCTAAAATACCTAAATTGGCATGAATAATGCAGGCGATGATAATCCCTGGATCCGATACTTCTTCGGTTCAGATGGGATGGATTATGACACACTTGTTGAGACAACCCGATGTGTTGAACAAAGCAAGAGCTGAGATCGATGTAAAGATCGGACAAGACCGTCTCATCGATGAACAAGACATCTCTGATCTTCCTTACCTTCAAAATATTGTGTTCGAGACATTCCGGTTAACCCCGGTAGGTCCGATCATGGTCCCTAGAGAAGCTTCCGAGGACGTAAAAATTGGTGGGTATGACGTGCCTTGTGGTACAACATTCCTAATTAACATGTGGGCCATCCACAGAGACCCAGAGCTCTGGCCCGATCCAGAGAAGTTTGATCCCGAAAGATTTAATGGAAACAAAAGCGAAACTGATGAATCCTTGGGCAGTGTTAAAACCATGATGCTCTTTGGGAGCGGTCGGAGAATGTGTCCTGGTGCTGGACTCGTGCAGAAGACTTCAACGTGGACAATAGAAGCATTGGTCCAATGTTTTGATTGGGAAAAAGTGAATGGTGAAGAGATTGATCTGGAGGAAGCTCCAGGGGGTTTGATGATGCGAAAGCTTAAACCTTTACGTGCCATGTGCCGACCTCGACCAGTCATGTCTAAACTTGTTGCTTAGACAGGTTTGATGGAGTCACATAATCGACGAGCCAACGCGTGTCAAAATGAACCGGAATTATGTATTTTGATTGAATTATATCTAGTTTTCTCTTTTAATATAAGGAACCAATATCCCACTTTCCAGTATTGTAGGAACTACGTCTCCACCTTTGCTTCTTTTTTTTTTTGTATTTTAATCAATAAAATTTGGCAATCTTAGTTGCCTAATAAAATTGGTACCAGAGCTAGGGGTGAACATAATTCCCGTCCCATCCTAAACCGTCTTATTTCGTTCCATTTCCGGTTCTGAATTCCCTTTCTGTATTGGACCATATTCCCGTATGGTACAAACTATCGATTTTCGTTTGGGAATGGGACAGGACGGGACGTGGACAAAAATTTTCGAAGTTCCATTAGTCCTAAGTATATATTTACAGATTTACTTATATAAAAATAGATTATTATATACGAGTTTCCTAATTTTTTATATATGTTAATAACTTTTTAGTATGATATCAAAATTATTAATTAATATTATATTATATGTAAAATTCTAATTTTTCTTATATAAAGTTGTAAACACGATTATAAAACTCTTTCAAACCTCTACACCTACGTTAGCATGTTGAGATTTGAGAGTGTTGGTCTAATTAAACTC